TCTATAGTTTATATAGAAAAGAAGCCATATCCCACAAACTCGCATTTTAATTGAAGCTTGTGAAGCACAAAGCAGGGATTGCTTAGAACTAAGCTGTGGAACGCAGCAATTCTTCTGACTAGCTAATTTTACCGCAATGTAATACGAGCACATATATACATATAACATACATGGACACATGGGTAGGAACAAGCACATGTGTAGGCACATAGTCAACCCTATATTTAGAAGCATTCTCGTATGAAGCCGCAGTGTAAGTAAATTAACATTGAACGCATTGCATATGGCATGCAACATCGTTAATGTGGGCGGATTGTAAGCGAGCGCTTTTAGATATTCTATTGCACAATGCAAATTAACATGCTGCGCAGTGATACTGTAATTATACCATACCTATGTAAATATGTTTATTGGCTTTGCAACGCAATGGCATTGTAAATTGCGGCTGCTGAAGCTAACTGCGGTGTGGCGTACTAACGGTGTATAGTGTTGCCAGCACGTTTGGCTAATTAAGCGAATGCATTAAATGTACATATCTACATACACATACATACGTATATTTGTACGAGGGAAAGTGTGTGTGTGTGTGCATGAATGTCGCCACAAAACCCTCAATTGACTTCGCTGGCATGGCTGCACAATTAAAGCATATTTGCACATTGTTAAGCGGGAAATAACAGTGCAAACGACTGAATTGATATCGTTTTATGAGAATTCGATAAATTGTCAAACATTTAATTGTTACTTGCGAAACGGTTACAATGTGTTGGGTATTTTTGTTATTCAATTATTTTGATGAAGTATTTATTAGCTTTGTAAACAATTTAGCAGCACAAATTAATCACGTGATAAGGCAGTGTATGATTTTCAAAGAATGTATATTTTTTCTTGCCCTAAAGTACACTTTAAGGTGCCAAGAACGTTATTCGATCAATAATATACTAAAAAAAAATTCTCCCTATCCAATTCTCTTTGGATAAGTTAGCTTAAGAATGTAACAATTTAGTCGCCTTTTTCTCGCAATAGAAACAATGGAGGTAGTCGAAGACTTTCGGACGTATCTTCTTGAAATTTTACTTATAGCTTTTTTTGCCTTCTTTATTGACGTAAACACCGCTAACGAGGTTATAGTAAAGTTTACAACATCAACAGTTTCTTCTTCCTCTGTTTCCCCGGCAGGTATTTCGTCGAATACTCTCAGAGCTAGACTACGGTATTCGCCGTTGGCAATGAGCAAAGGACCATAAATCTGAATGCAAGTCGGCGGGGAAATTGTTCGGCTGTCTGTTGTGATTGCAGCTTCTCGACGTCAAACCTGCCTTGTGTTTGTTGATATTAGGAACACGGCGCATACGCACATCTAAAACATTGGAGACGTGTTTTCCGTCTATCACAACATGAACGATATGGTTGGCGCCTTTTCGATCCGGAGGCAGTCAGGTAGCTTGATGCATTTTTTATGCTGGATTCTAGTATTACAATTAACCACAATTCAGGACCCGGCGTCGTCGATCAGCATCAACCCATTTGAGGATTTTTCCTCGTGGAAGCTGAATTTACCGACTGTTGTGCCAAAGATACCTTCTTTGTCAACCCTGACGTTAAATTCGCCAAGCACGATTTTGACATAGCGGCGGGGGCAGCTGTCCTAGCTATCCAAGCGCTCATAGAAGGCATCTTTGGACACATCGTTGTTTACCCACCGTAGTGAATGGCAGGACTCGACGACGAAGTCTCACTTTCACCGCGATATCCACACTGAATTTATAGTCATTATATTAGTAAATGCCAGAAGGATCTACTCGAATCAGTACTTGTCCATTCCATAGTATTTCATGGATGGCGGTGATATCAGCAGTGACTCTTATGAGGACCTCAACATAAGTACATTTTTATAATGTTTTGTTTCCTTGAAATAGGAGGAAAAAAAGATTGCCTCTTCCTGGACACGACTACGACCTGTGATCATCTGGAAAATAAAACAATAACGAATTCTTGATTTTTACAAAAGTCGTATTAACCAACCACACAATTATTTTTTTTTTTTTTTTATAAAATTGAGAAGATTGAGAAGATCTTAGCAGAGGGCACGAGTGGTTTCAACGTTTTCAAAGTAGTCGTGAGGACATAAATGGCGATCAACATGTGGGCCGAATTCATCATTGAAATTCATGGAAATGGAATGGAACATCTCCAAAACATCGATTGATCGCATTTTTACCGAACATTTGGGCTTACGAAAGGTGTGTGCAGAGTTTGTTCCGTACAAATTGACTGATGGCCAAAAATTACTCAGAAAACTTCAATCGAAGGACGATCATTTGACCAAAAATCACATTTTAACCATTAACCACTCCCCGTATTCACCTGATATGGCACCGTGTGACTTTTTCTTTTCAGAAAAATGCTTTTACCCATGAAAGGAAAGCATTATGCAGACGTAGAGGCCATTCAAAAGGCTTTCACCCTCATACTGGCGGCCATACCGGCCAACGAGCTAAAACACTCGTTCGACATGCTTTTAGACCGTGTGAAAAAATATTGAAGCAGAGGGAGACAATTTTGTATAAAACAAATTGAATTTGCCGAAAAAACTATTTGTTCTGTTTTTTTTTTTTTTTTAAGTCCTGTTGACTTTGGAAATCACCTTGTAAAATGTCAAAATTATATTATATATAGGATACCTATTTTTAAAGTTTCAAACTTTTCAAAATAAATATTTTTAATAAAAAATATCTCCTTAAAAATGAAATTGTATGACATTGCGTACGAGCAAAATTATGAAAAAAAAAATAAAAATAAAATAAAAATAATTTTCTCAAATTAAAAATAAAACTCTCAGATGGAAAGTTAAATACTCATACACAGCGGATGTCCTAAGTTTATTTTTCAATGCAAAATTTAATTCAGAACAATCTTGGTATGCATTTATTAAGAGTTTTCAATTGCTTTTTGTAGGGAAATTATAAACAGAAAAAGATCGTACAAAATTCGACGCCGATTTTTTACACTTCGATATCTGATATTTTGTAGCATATGCCTACGTGTATGTATCAAAAATAATATTTACAATGAAATACATAGAATTGTCATCAAATCGAAGCAAAGAAAATTTCAAAAGTTTGACGTCAGCAGGTGACAGTCACAATCGTGCCATCCTAATTCGAAAATTGCAACATAATCATAAACAATAAATTCACCATATGTCCTTTTCTTATTTAGACAAAATAAATTTATTTAACATTAGTAAAATGATTCAATTAAGCCATAGATGATCTCAAACTCAATTTTATATTTCGTATTACGAGTACAAAGTTATATTTATTTACCTTCACCATGCAGCAATTTTTCAGATTGCAAGATAAAAGCGCAAATTCGCAGATAATAAAGAAGTTAAAATCTGTTGCTGTTTACGCAATTTCTGTGCTCAAATTTATTAATGCCAAAGATTTATGTTGCGTGTAATTTTCGACGACAAATTGTACCTGGCTGCCTGAAATATGAACTCAATTTATAAAAAAATAAAAACACAGCCAGGCAAGGATATTGCAAATTACGCCTGACATTAGCGCTACTGTTGTTGTTTGCAGTCATTCAAGTACAACAGTGGCTCTTCTACTGCTTGTTGTGCGCACTTTTCCTCCACATTAATTTGCGCATTTGTCAACGTTGACATTAACCTAAATTATTGCTATTGTATGTATGCACATTGAATTACGATGTCAACAGACGACAGCACTGCTCAATGTCCGCTCAACCTCAAGTTAGCTACAGCTAGTCCGATGAGTGGAAACAAAGCCACTAAGCCAATGGAAATTGATGACAGAAGATGCGTAAAGGCTCAGTGATGATTTTATGAGCTGCATTCAAGCGATAGATTTGTAGATGGGTGAGAAGTGATATTTGATGATGCGTACAATGGCTAAATGACCGAACAAAAGTCACAAAATAAAGTGTTTGTTTGATTTAATTATTTTTCGCGTGCATTTTTTATTTATAGCTTTGATAGGGTGGTTCTAATTACTAATTTTAGTATTACACAAATGTTGATAATGATTCTAAACTTTAGAAACCAAATTTTTAGATCCATACTGAACTTGTGGAACACCCTCGCCAACTGAAAAATAATATAATTTGAATGTACCTAACATATTAAACAAAAGACAGTAACTTATTTACTAAATTTAAAACTCACCCTAATAATTGAATAATCAAAAACTCAACTTCTAAAACCATTCTGAACTTGTGAAACACCCTCTCCAACTAAATAATAATATAATTTGAAAACTTCTTACAAATTAAATGAAAGCAGTAAGTTGTTCACTAAATTTAAGAACCAACCTTATGATTATATAAATATTGCAGGCAAGGGAGAGGAAGCAGAGTGGCCGTTGTTTGTCAAGTTTATTTCCAAACTTTTCCTTTTACAATTTTAAACCTGTGAAACACGCCTCGAAAGCTCTCCAACAGACTAACTAAACTAATTTGTTCACAAAATTTAAGCACCACCCTAATGTAAGCATTTAAATATTGCACAAGCGAAGGCAGGATGCAGCGCGAGCGTTGCTTGTCAAGTATTTTCCACCTTTTCAACAGTCTAATTAATTACCTGGCAGCTGGTAAGCTGAATGAGTCCCTTAGGAAGCGAAAAGCAGGAAACGACCTAGAGGATTGCAGTTCAAGATATCGCACAAATAAATTAAATTAAGACATTAAGAAAATTAAAATTCAGTTAGACGGCATCCTTGCAATTACCTTTATCTAATTTCACCTCTTCTTTTCTTCTCTTCTCAGGATCATAAATCGCAAAGCTACTGAGACCCGCTTAAACCAACTAAGAATTCTTGAAAAAATGCAAAGCTCCACAAACAACTGTGATATGGCTGGATGCTAAGTACCATAAAATACAAATAGCCTCGCAATCATTCACAACCAACCTGCAAACACACACACACTTAGGCTTCAATACATTCGACCGCGAGCAAATTGCGCATGCGTCAATGGCGATAACAAGATATGCGCCCACGCAAGATGTCGGCAGCAGCATCGGTAGTACGAACACCACCACGATCACTACCGCCAACAACAACAACAACAATGAAAGCATTAACAATAGCTACCTACCATATGCACGGAATAGCGGCAGCAGAGTCGACGCGCCGGCTGAACCAGCCGTCAACGTCAACAACTCACTCTACTACTGGGAGTTTGCTCCGGAGGAGTTGCCTGAGTTTTCACTGGTCGCACCAGAGTTAGAACCTTCCATACAACAACTCGCCGCTGCAGCCCAAGCACCCGCGTCATCCTCCTCGTACTCATATCAGGAAACGAATGCCCGCGCGGACAATCACACGACTGAAGTGCAAGGCGAGCCACCGCCTTCGTTCTACACGAGTTTCAATATTTCTGACGATATCTTCGACTATTTTAATGGATTTCTCGAGAGCACCGAGCAGCAGCAGCAACAGCAACCATTGTTGACGACTACCAGCACAGAGAGTGTAACGAGCGCGATCAGCAATAGTGTGGCCACGGCGAATTTGACGCTAACGACGTACGTACAGACTGTTAGTAATGGTTCACGTGATCCGGCATTGGGTGAATTTCTCTGTCTACTACCTAATGAGCGTATATCGTTGCTCTCATTTCTGTTTCTCTTCTCGTTCGCCACCGTGTTCGGCAATGCACTGGTGATATTGGCTGTGGTACGCGAACGCTACCTGCACACGGCTACGAATTACTTCATCACAAGTTTGGCGGTAGCCGATTGTCTGGTGGGCCTGGTTGTGATGCCCTTGTCGGCCCTGTACGAAGTGCTCGAGAATACGTGGTTTTTCGGCACCGACTTTTGTGATATCTGGCGCTCATTGGATGTACTCTTCAGCACCGCTTCCATTTTAAATTTATGTGTGATATCATTGGATCGTTATTGGGCCATAACGGACCCTTTCTCCTATCCCATGCGCATGACGGGAAGGCGCGCCGCCTTTCTGATCTGCGCGGTGTGGGTCTGTTCGAGTACCATTAGTTTTCCAGCGATTGTGTGGTGGCGTGCGGCGCGCGACGGCGAGATGCCCGCTTACAAGTGCACGTTTACGGAGCATCTCGGCTATTTGGTCTTCTCATCGACGATCTCATTTTACCTGCCACTACTAGTTATGGTCTTCACCTATTGTCGCATCTATCGTGCTGCGGTCATACAGACACGTTCGCTGAAAATCGGCACCAAACAAGTACTGATGTCATCTGGTGAACTGCAATTAACCTTACGCATACATCGTGGTGGCACGACACGTGAACCTTCGACCAGCGCGTCACATCATCCGACAATTCATGGCTCGTTGGGTGGCGCACCGAGCGGCGATGGTATGCAACATCATCGCCATCATTCACATCAACATTCAACGCTTCACAATCACAGCGCTTCGGGCACGACGACTTCAACGCCCGAGGAGCCGGACGATGAACCACTATCGGCGCTACACAATAATGGTCTGGCACGTCACCGGCATATGGGTAAAAACTTCTCCTTGTCGCGTAAGTTGGCGAAGTTCGCCAAAGAGAAGAAAGCAGCCAAGACGTTGGGTATAGTGATGGGTGTATTCATCGTGTGCTGGCTGCCGTTCTTCGTTGTTAATTTGCTATCCGGCTTATGTGTGGAGTGCATCGAACATGAAGAGATAGTGTCAGCGGTGGTCACATGGTTGGGCTGGATAAATTCATGCATGAATCCGGTGATATACGCTTGTTGGAGTAGAGACTTCAGAAGGTGAGTGAAGTTACTTTAATATTAACCTCAAGATCAATCTTAACTTAAATTTTAACCATTATCTTAGCCTTATACTTAACGCTAACTTTAGAGCCAGACTTTTGCGAGGTTTTTAAATTTTATTATTGAGTTTGCTAGGAAGCCAAGGAGTTAAAATAAGTTGTCTTTTTAACAGAATCGACGAAACTATATCGAGCAGAAACTATATATTTAATTTCAATCTTTGCTACAAATTGGAACTTAATGTGAGGGATCTTAACTGTAATCTTAAAGTAAATCTTAGTATCATTATTTTGAATGGTCAAACAAGCTTTAACATTTAACGGCTTGACAAATTTTTAATGTTTCCATATTAAGTCTGGTATGGTATATGCCAAAATTGTATCATTCCTTATCTTAAAAAGTATCCAAAGAGTCACGCAATCACGCCTACACCAAATAATTTGCACATATATTTGTACACACTCATGTTCCGCCTTAGCTTCGGTAATTGCCACATTTTAACGTCGTGTCATTGCTGCAGCAAATGATGATGATAAAATGATTACACAGATTTACCGCATTCTTCGCTTGTAACACAATCCAATCTAATATTTACATGCATAATATATACAAACACACACAACCGTAATATATCTGTTTGCTTGGGAATATTAAGCCAACAAAATTATCGAACACTTACAAAGCAATTTTCTTAAACAATAGCCTTAATATGCCTTTGGGAAAAGTTCTTAACTCTGAAGCCACATTTTGGCAGTTAAAGTGTTGGTTGATTTTTCGTGCACACAGACAAACATGAGTTTTTTTTAACAGCGATTTGTTTGAGAAAGGAGAAAATGATAATGCGGCACCGTAGTCGAGTGTTTGAGTGGGCGGCTGTTTCGCAGATTGTGGATTTCTTGTCAATGTCTCGGTAATGAAGAAGACCAATATCGACATTAAAAAACTTTATTGATTGGCTTATCAATTAAGTGCTGATGGTGCATTAAGTGCTGTTGAAAAGTGGCTGTAGATATACATGTGTTTCACGCCACAAGGATATTCCGGTAAACAAAGTAGATGATGAGATTGCCAAAAGTAACGTTCGTCTGGCTATAGAACCAGCTCAGAAAACATGCATAATGAAATTACCGAAAGGACTTAGAATTTGTGTGCAAGGGTGCCAAAGCGAAACACTCAAGCCATTTACTCAGAGTTTTCTCTAGAATTCGTCTTAGTTAAGTATGAGCTTTGCAGTTCAATAGACTAGATGAAGTAACGGAAATAGGTATGAAGTCTCCCTTAAACATTGAAAAAGGGTTGTCCTGTATGGTGGATAGTTCAAATCGAATGTCGTGAATAGCTCATTTAATATTAACTTCTAAAGCTTTAAGAGTGTCTGGTTTGTTGCTAAGGATCAATGACTTCAAATAACCACATAAGAAGTACGAACCGATTATTCCACCAGACCAAAAATCACACTAAACTCTGAATTTAAATGAATATAACGGTTTGTGCTAATTTTAGCGGTGCACTCAGATGAAATTAAGGCACATTGGAGAAGATCATTTTCTTAAAAAAAAAAAGTTATGGTTTTCAAGTTGTTCCAAGACAAAACCACGTTAACGTAGTCCAGTTTCTTCAGTTCTTGAGTGAGAACAGTTATATAAGGATGCAAGCCCAAATCTTTTTAAAAACTCGTCGGGTTGTTGTTTTAGACAGTCCCAATTCTTGAGAACGTCTTGGAATCGACAAATCGAGGTCTTCAGTAACACTTGTCTGAACGATATGACATTAAAAATCGCTGAAATGATACTAGAAATTATATCATTGCTATTGGAAAACGCAGTATATGCAAATTGGCTATTTACACTTTGGCTTATCAAATAAACCAGATGAAAATTATAACTTTCTGCAGAATATCACGGTTCCGTTGACTTTGATTGAACAGCTCAATAAGATCTGTTTCATAAACACCAAAACTAAATAAAACTAAATTAAGCCGTAAATTGACCCGAAAGGTTCTCGCTAGACAAACCACTTTTTCCAACAAATGTGACGTATCGCTGGGTTCTCAAAAGCCGCTTAAGACTTTTGCGAGATTTTTAAATTTTATTATGGAGCTTGCAAGGAGACCAACGAGTTAAAATAAATTGTCTTTTTAACATAATCGCAGTCTCGCGCAACCTCGATTTTAATAAAATGATGCGTTACAACCTTTTTTGTGTAGCTTTGACCAACTACAAAAAATACAGATTAGTGGTAGATGCTTTTGAGACAGCCTAGATATCAGCACCTAAGCTTTCGGGTACATTTTAAGGCTACTGTAATGGTGTTTTTAGGCACAACCCCAACCCATTTAATTTGAAGAAATTAACATGGTTATATTTAAATTTTACACATCTTGAGCAACGAAAGAGCTAAGCAACCAGCATAGACATTTTTTCCAACTTCCAAATCTTTTCGCAAATCTGTTAGTCTGTGGATTTCTGTGGAACTCTAACGCGCCCAATTCAGCCACATTACTTAGAAATAATACTGATTTTTTTTTTCTTCCTTTCTTTCAGAGCATTTGTACGTCTGCTGTGCGTTTGCTGCCCGCGTGGAGTACGCCGCAAATACCAACCGACAATGCGTTCCAAATCACAGGTAAGAAGGTGGTGTGCCGAAATTTGGCGCGCCACCGCGCTCGCTTTTGAGGTCTACTGCCTTTCTTGTGTTTTTGCTTTATTATTTTCTCAATTAATTTTTGGGTATAAATTTTGCAGTTATTTGCTTCTAAGCCGCTATAATTCGTTTATTTGCTATTTATGTTTTATAAGATTTAACAGTTATTTTTGTAAACCGAAATAAAGATATGAAAACAAAACAGACAAACGAATATAATACTCACAAATATCTGTATGTACATATATATAGAGCGAATTAGGAAACAAGAAATAAATTTGCTTTAATGAAACCACCTACTCAACCAAGCGAAAATGATTTACAACACAATCAAAATGAATTATCGAATCCACAAAATCCACGACAATCCCACTGAAATTGCATTACAGCACAAAAACTCACTCACTCACATATTTATATACACATACATGCATAGCAAATAAATGAGTAAGTAATCAGCAAAATACCGGCGTTGCTCAATCACTTTCGCCACACACCGACCAATGCCAACGCGCTGTGTCGCTATCAAATCAAACACAGCAAGGAAATAGAGCGATTTCGCACAGCAACAATAATAATAAACAACAACAATGAATTGAATTGAATAAATAAATAAAAATAAATGCTTAGCGCAGCCCTGCCGTCGACGCCTCATCCGTGCACTTGCGATTCCTGCCCTCCTACACCACTGCCTGAGTAACGATTTAAAGTTTCGATTTATTTTATCTTTATTTTTTCATTTTTGGTTGTTGTGTTTGTTTGTTGTTATGCTTTTACTGCAATTTGGTGCTCACCGCGGCATTTCGACTGCGGGTCACCGAAATATGTAGAAGTAAATTGAAACTTTTTAATTGCACCAACTGCCAAGGAGCTTATAATTCATTACCAAGTTATTTGCAAAAACAAAAAATAAAAGAAAAACAACTTAATATTTACCTCCGACCGGGTTGCGGGCATAACTGTACATAATGGCGTGCCACCAGAAAAGTATTATGAAAATCTAAATACATAAAAGCAGTAAAAAGAATATCTGCGTTCTCAATTTCAGCAACACAAGCAGTATACACCAGAGTACCGAAATTCATTCTTAATTACGCAATTAAAAAATTTGTGTGGCGGAATCTGTTGCATAGGCAATTGACGCTAAAAATGTATGAAGTTTTTTCAAATATTTTTTGGGATGTAAGTCCCTATCCATTTTACCTATAATTATTTTTGCTCATGCTGTAATTACTTGTGTAATTTGAGAAATCTATGAAATCGATAGCGTCCTCCTAAACTTGGAAAATTCATATTTCAAGCATTTTTTTAGTTATTATAAAAATTTAGCTGTTAGAAGAGACACAGGCAATGCTTGTCTAGCTCAGTATACAAAAAAAGTATATTCAGAGACAAGAAAATTTTCTTATAAAAAATTCGGACTTAAACAATGACAACATGATATAGAAGTTTTATAACAAAAGGTTTTTTCCGTTATAGCATGACATCCTTAATGGCAACTTTTAACTAAATTGTCCGCATATTTCACCGAAAACGACCAATAAGTATGCTGGAGTAGCTCGAGTAAAATTTTTTGTTGCCATTACATGTATTATTTTTATTTTCGCTTTCATGAAAGCCCAACTACTTTTTATTTGTCTAGCGTCTGGTGATTATGATGGCAAATCTAATGTAAATACGGTTTTTATTGTTTCCATTGCGTACAGAGTCTGCTAGTATATTTCGAATTACTATTTTCTTGCTATCATAATTAATTTTGCAGTAAAGCATTTCTGCTGACTTCAGAAAACACTTTTTATATCAATTTTATCATTGTAGCCATCTTCAAGTTTTCTATAAAGCACCTCCAAACCTAAAATAAATGAATAAACATTGAAAAAAGTACTGCCACATTTGATGCCAGTAGTCTGTCTTCTCCGTATTGAATTTCAGTATTGTATCTAACCCTCTTTAAACAAAAAGTGTTTGGCCACTCTTAAACTGAACAGTGGTTTTTTCTCAAAAAGAATAACAAATGCTTTGTTCGCTTTGAACGCTCATTTCTTTATCTTACGGTATCACGTGAATCGAAAAAAGTGGTCCACTTCGACTACTTGGGTTCGATTGTATGCGTCAGTGTTTTGAATTGAACATATATTAATTTTCAAAGCTATGAAAACAGTATTATGCACACTGATCCCGCAAAGGAAAAAACGTTATTTTTAGAACGCAGTGTATTTCTAAGACAACCTTATTATTAAATCTCAAGAGTAATAGAATATGTGAGTACAATGTAGATACATAATATAATTCACACATTGGAAATATTCCCACTAAGTCGAATTACAGGTGAGAATGAGCACTATTTCTCGACCGAGATCGACAGTTTATGTTTTAGTTTTACAGTGATTATAGTATTCAATTTAAAGACAGTAGTTTTTTTTTCTTACCATCGAACACACTTGCCGAATTACACTACTTTAAGGACTGGAGGTGTAATATTGAAACTTTTGTCAACGACTCAACAATGTTTGAGATTCACGCTCAGTAGACTTTACCAAATTTTAAATGATTATTAAGGTTTCCTAGCGTAAAAAATAGCGTACTTGTGACAATTTTTTCTCATGTAAAAAATTAAATATTTTATTGAATTTTTATTGTTACAAACATACATTATTAATAAAGACTCCTTGGAAAAAAGATGCATCCGCGTTGGCAGGATAACTCCTTACAGGATCATCTAAAGTGAAAAAATACGTGTTTTAATTACAACCTGAACTTGGAGCGAAGGAAAAAAAATTAAAATTGGGTTTTTGGCACACGTTTTTACAAAAAAATGTAAATTTCGGTGAAAATTTCGCGACACTTTTTTCAAATAGTTGTAATCGAAAAAAGTCTTCGTCCAAGTCTTTAAGAATTGTATTTCAAAAACATGTGTAGTTCTCGAGAAACGCGTTTAAAGTCGAAACATGAACCACATTTTAAATTTAGTACTCTTCAATCTGTTTACAGCCTAGTTGTGAAGGATAACTCTCACGATCCCGAAATATATTGCTTGATCTATAAAGAGAACAAATGTACAACCAGCCATTTTCTATTAAGCTCACATTCCTTAAGATTTATAACTGTCTCTGACTTTCACTCCAAATGCAATATAGCAGCTATTCGGATATTGTGTTCTTTTATGAAAACAACCTCAAACACTTTGGCTTTTGAGATAATATCTGGATTTAGCTGAACAATTTTTCTGAAAATCATTAATACTTAGAGGAATTTAGTTGTCGATTTCCGCCATCTTGGTTATACTTTTCTAAATACTATATAGTATGTATGAACTACTGAAACTGAGCCTGGATTTAACAGCTTCTGCTCTTTATCAGTTGCCTGAATATGACGTATCCGTAAACTATAATAGGGGACATAGTACCACATAATACAACAAAAATGATGACTGAATACTCAGTTACCTGTGATCAGTAGCAGGTTGCGGTGACTGATAAAATATTAGTGGTTGCCTAAAGACCACACGCCAGTTGCCATACACAATAGGTGTTGAACTATTATTAATATTTTGCTACAGTATACGTGTTACTATTATTTTTTCGAGTTTTGCAAATAACTTTTGGTCCAAGTACATTTACAATTCATGTTAATTACTCTCTTATGATATCAGCGGGTTTGCCATGCCAATCTCCACTTAGTTGCTATAATTTTTTGTGAGAAGCTAATAATAACCTAACCCAGCATAAACCAGAACTTTTAGTGCAATCTATTAAATCAGCTCAGTGCAACAACAACGCGTACTAAGCATGCTACAGCAACAAAAACTATTTAAAACTTTGTTAAATATACTCGTAGAAACAGCCAAACACCAAACTCCGACAAGCAGCAGCCAAACTAAAAGAACAACTGAACAGAAACCTTGTTAAACGGCAACAAAAATGTACAACAAAAATACATGAAAATATTTACCAACACTTAAATCCGCTTGCCACTTTAAGTACTTAACCCACGATAAGCACGCCAACTATGCCCGACATCCCACTGCACAGACACACATACACGCAAGTGCCGACTGCATGTCAACAACAGCAACAACATAAAAATTTTGCAAAACCCAAAAACAAGACAACCAGAAATCCTCAAACCACAAAACAATATTGCAAGCAAATTACAACAACACACACACACACAAAAGTTATACATACACACACACACCTCTATGGAAATTTGTAGTGCAGTGACAAAGCGAAATTTCGTCAATTATCTATTATTTTTGCAGAGATTTGCGACGCGCCGTTGCTATTCGACATGCTCACTGCATGGCATTCAACATGTGCGACACAACTCCTGCGAACAGACATATATCTAGTGTTAGTTGAATGGGTTCTGGTGCGACAAACGCCAAGGGGCCGTCATTAGAGGCATGCGAATGCTCAAATACAAATACAAGCTCAAACAAATAGGACAAAATGAAAAAAACATAAAACAGAAACAGAAACAGAATCAGAAACTGAAAGAGAAGCAAAAACAGAGCGGCGTGGCGTAATGTGAAAATAAGTTAGTGGTGCAAAATGGCGGCAAACCAAGCAAGCACCACTACAAATGCCAACTAGTTGAATTGCATAAGCGATTGGTGCCTTGCGACTGTCGCTCGCGTAAACAAAAACAAAAACATTGTTAAATTTTGAAAAATAAAATACAACTCGGCATCCAAAATTTTGCTCATAACAGTAAAATGTTGCAATTACAACAAACAAATTGTTACTACAAGGTATGTACGATTTCCCGGAAGTGCCGTTATGCAAACTTCGCTAATGCACACATATATAAATATATATGTATGTGTTTGCTTCACATCTGGTATCATAAGTAATCGTCCACCAATTCACCGTCCCACAATTGTACCAAAATCACGCAAATTGCCTCAATCGGCATCTGCCGACCATTTGTTGTAAATATGTTGGTTTTTTCTAAGCATACATGCGTAATCAGTTAAAAAT